GCATGCTCACAATTACAAAAATAACCTTCGAAAGCCAAAAAAGCCAACAATATTGTAAACAAAAGTACAACTAAAACTCACATATGATTGGCTTGAAAAATAAATTTGAAAATTGAAAAATGCAATTAAAAAGGAAAAATAAAATCACATTGCACAAACTAAAAAAGGATAATAAACTAAATAACGAAGTTTTGTTGTCACATCAGGATATTCTGATTGTCTCTGAGTTCATCTCCATCCGCCTGTGACTTTTTTGTTTTTCGATGGTTATGGGTGTAAAAATGGCCCAAGGCCCGTGGGCGGCCTGAAGCCTGCGGCGGGCCCAGCCCGTTTCGGCCCGGTTAAGCCTGAGCCCAGCCCAGTACCTTGGGCTTGGGCCTGGGCCTTCCATTTTGGGGCCCGGCCCGAGCTGGCCCGTGGCCCGGTCCATTAGCCTGACCCAACCCAAAAAATTTCAGGCCCTATGGGCGGCCCGCCCCGCCCCGTCCCGGCAAATTTCAAAAAATAAAAATAAAAAACAACTTACAATAGTTAAATAATTTTAAAAAATAAGTAAAAAGATTGATCTTATAAAAATAAAAAAATAAAAAAATTAAATAAAAATTAATATAATTAAATAAATAATATTAATAATTTAAAAATAAAACAAAAATTAATAATAATTTATTAAATTAATAATTATTTAATAGAAAATGATGATATGATGTATCACTGTGTGCACAGCAGCACAGTCTGTGTGTGTGGCTGAGAAAGTGGGAAAGTGCACCTAATAACCTGATGGGAAAGTACACCTAAGGTCCTAAGCTCACGTGAAAGAAAAAAAAAAATATATATATATATATATATATATCTGGCCAATCACAAGCCAGAGGGGGTTGTGGGGGTCATCCCTGGAGGGGGTCCGGATCATTTTTCTATACCCATATGCTATGTTTGGATTTTTTTAATTTTTAATTTTTTATTCTTAAATTTAACTTTGTTGTTGTTATTGTTGCAGTTATGCTCCATCACATTGGCGACAGGGCTCTTCATATGTCTACGCAGCGCAACAAAGATCACTCACAGAGCACAGATTGTGTCGTGCCTTGCGGCCAAGTGGCATGTCTGTGCCACAGTAGACTCTTTTGATGACTTGGATGATGAGACTGAGACTCTAACAGCCCAGATTTCTTCTTCACCACCTCTGATATGCCCTATCAGTAATGGCAATTCATCATGTCATCATCAGCAATCTGATCATGAAGAAGAAGATGGAGATGGAGAAGAAGATGACCTTGACAACACCAAAATGGTGCCCATATCTGCACATACTATCTCCTACCAGAAGAGGCAAGCTCTTGGTGAGTGTGATAGTGATATATTATATATACATGTTGTGGCTGAGAATTCTTTGTTCCAAATTTTCAAAACCTTCATTAACCCAATAATTGTGTATTTTGGAATGGGAAGATAACAGGATTTTGGGTTCTTTCCACACTTTGTGCAACAAGCCTGAAATTCTGTGTCCCTCAAATTTCAATGTCCCTTTATCTCAAAACATTTACATCTATTTAATCATGTCTTGAGATTACTATACTTTGAGATTTCAATGATCTAATAGTTGTAAGTATTTTGGGATAGAGCAAAAAAGTGATTAGGGAAGAGGATTCTTGGCCCTCTGCACAATAGTGATAACCAAGTTTGGATTCTCTCCAGTTTCGTATCCAATTGGAGAGGTGTTGTTGGGCTCACCTTAGTGATTTGAAATGTTCATTTTGTAAATCCCTCTAAAATTTAAAATGATTAAATATCGAAAATCACATAATCAGATCACATTTGTTTTCAAGAAATGGGTAGTCGATTTTTAAAATCACAGCTGCTATTCATTTTTTAAGATAAATATGTTTCGATTATATAATCATCAATATCTTATATATTAACTTTATGTTTTATATAAACTAGTTGTTTGGCACACGCATTGCGTGTGCAAGTCAAATAAATAAATAAACAAAATATTTGGTATATCTTGTATGTATCTCAAATGGTAATCGTTTTGTTTATCAAATTTATGTCTCAAGTTCAAATCACATTCGCTTCTTTATTATTTTTATTTATTTTTTTATTTTTTTCGTGAATAGAAAATTGGACACTTAGCATAAAAAGAAAGAAAGTTTCAAGACACCAAAATAGTTGCTCATATATATAATAGTATAGATGATAATAAACGGTTTGAATTACCAAGAAAGGCCTTGAGACAAGTCCACATAATCCAACAACACATCTCCAATTGAATGCCCCATTGTAGAGAATTAATTTTTGTTATAACCTATTGGAAAATGATTCACTTATCGGGTTTTTTACCAGTAGTCACAAAAATTAGTGAATCTCATGTGCATTTATTAATATAAACCCGACCAACTTGTGTATTGCTGTAATTTGCATATAGCAATGCACAAACCTATTTTGCACCATTTTTTTTGTTTTGTTTTGTGTGTGTGTGTGTGTGTGTGTAACCATCAAGTTGTTTCAATGTTTTGGATGCAGTGACATACTTTGAGAACAACAGAGCTGGAATAACAGTGTTTGGATTTATGCTGGATAGGACATGGCTCCACACCATTTTTGTGATTGAGTTGTCTCTCACCCTTTGGTTGCTTAACAAGACAATTGGTATTTCATGAGCTCAATCAATGTATGTTCAAACCTTTGAAAACCTTTTCATTGTTGTATAGTTCTCTGCTTTGGGCAAAATATAATCATTGAAACTGAAAAGATATATTTGGTTCAATAAGTAACCATAGTTGAACCTAAGCATGGCCCTTATGGGAATTGTATAATAATAACCATTTAACATTATGTGTGTTATCACTTTAGTAATAAGCATATACAAAGCATACAATGGGGCCAGTTTGGTGTAATTTAATGGAATTATTTTATTTTAGTTTATTTGGAAACTTGAATCAAAATATTTGATGCGGTTTTTTACTTACAACTTATTATACTTAAATGAGTTAAACAAAAGCTAATTATTAAAAAGTTGTGAAATAAATACTTTTAATTTTTTCTTTTTAATTATTAACTTTTAACTTGCAAAAAGTTGTCCCAAACAGTGACTATATGACTTGTAATTGTTGCAAATATGCACTTTGGAGCAAATTGTGCCAAAAGAAATTGAGACAAATAATTAAGAGACAACAGAAAATACAAGAAACATTTTAATCTCATTATTATTATTGTCTATAGATTGGATGAAACAAAGACAAACAAGTTATTAACTTTCCTTCCCATAACATTTTCTGTTTTACGTAGCTAGCCATCCTTGTTCCTCAGAATGTCAATTGTCCATCAAACACAGCATATCATAAACATTAGAGAACAATGAAATGAGGTGAAAGAACTAATTAACATTTTAGAGGGTTTAAAAGAAACATAATTTTTTTTTTTTTATTTTTATAGATTTAAGCAGATCTAAAAAGTAAAAAATAAAATAATAATTAAAATATTAAAACAATTCACTAAAAATTAAAAAATACAGAATGAAAACTCAAAAACTATATTTGAAAACTCCAAAACCAAACAAAGTGATGCAACTCAAATGAGAGAGAGAGAGAGAGGGTTACTCGATGGCATCCAAATAAGCAAAAATGGAAGGAGAAGGATTCTTGATGTTGCAAAGCTTTTGGAGTTGCATAGCTGGCCCAGACTTAAACTTCATAGACTTAGCAGCATTTGTAAGACAAGTTACCAAACCCTTGCTGTCTGAAACAGAAGAAGAAATCATCCTATTCAAGTCCCTTGCACCCTTGCAGCAAGCACTTGTGGCTGTGACACTACCTTTACCCACCAAAAAAGGCTTGCATGGCCTCAACTTGTGTATGAATTGTTTGCATGAGGTAGCATTTGTTGGGCTCAAAATCAGAGCCAAAACCACCAACCCTAATAATACCCACATTGAGCAACCCATCACCATCTTCTTTGCCATTTTTTATCTTAACAAACACTCAAAAAAGTCTCAAAACCTATGTAGTCTAGTTCTTGAAATGAAGTAGTGTCTGTGTGTGCTAAGTTGCACATGCCATATGTAAAGAAGTTGTTGCCCACTAAGATCTGGTTTGCCAAAGAATTTAAAAAAAAAATTAGGATAAAATTGCTATAAAAATTTATGTCTTTTAGAAAGGGGATAGTACTTTTTTTCATACATCCATCATCAAGCGATTAATTCAAAGACCACAATTCAACAATTAGTCATTATCACTAGTTATGACCTTTGAATGACTAATTGTTAAATTGTGACATTTGAATCAACTGTTGAATAATGAGTAGATGAAGAAACTGGAGGGGAATCTTGCTCTAGAATTAGAAAAATGTTAAAAAGTTGTCTTTTGTTATTGAAAAAGTTTAGGTGGAGTTTGGATTTTATTTTATTTTTATCTTCAGAGAATTGTTTTTAAAATTTTAATTTTTTGTAATACTTTTTAGATCATTCCAGATACAAAGAGTTGAAAAATAAAATAAAAATTATTAAAAAAATCATTAAAGAAAAAAAAGTTTGAAAAAAATTAAATTTTTTAGCATTTGCCAATTGGGCGGATCTTTGTTATAAAAAATAAATAAATAAATAAGAAAAATTGTCAATTAAATAAGTTGAATCCAAGCCAAAATATTTTTGTCAATTAAATTAAATTCGATATAGTTGTTTTTTTCAAGATTCTACGGCCTCAAATCCCTCTTTCTTAATATATTATGAGTCATAAAATTTTGAAACAATCTCAAGAAATGAAAATCTCGATATGCAATTCTATAACTAGAGGAAGTGCACTAAGATATGAAAAAAAATGAATTTCAGAACAGAAAATCCAATTATGCTTCTCTATTTACTTCAAATTTTCCGTAAGGAAAAATTGGTACAGCTACCCTAATCATATATTTAGCCATAGCATTAAATGCAGATTAGGAAAATAAATTTTTATCTACATTTTTTGGAAAAAGAAAAAATTAGAAAAATTATGACAATTAAGAGAGAGATGATATGGTCATCCTTCTTCCTCCAACTCTGTTCTGACTCTAAACTTTTGTTATAATGGGACGACCCTATCATGTATACTAATTAATATTTAATTAATTAAAAAATATTAAATTTTAATTATTAATTATTTTAATTTAATTTGAGATTTATGAAAATTATAGAGACTGGTTCATATATAATTCTATTGAAAATTTATTTTGGAATTAGAAGTTAAAAGCTTACATGGCTCAAGAAAGTATAATTGGTGCATTGAATTATTTTAATTTCGAATATCAGACCATATGAAAGTTTAATTAAATATTCGATACAGATTTATAAAATTGTGATTTAATTAATTAGGTCCGAATTGGAGTTAATTAAGTTATAAAAATTAGGAATTAAGGTTATTATGAATTAAATTTCCTTATGAGATATTCAATTAAGGTATTCATTGAGTAAGTAATTTATCGGTGAAGATTTTGAAGTTTAATTTGAAATTAAAGACCTTAATGATTCAAGAAACCAAAATTGAGGACGGAAATAAATTTAATTTGATATTTTGAGCCTTTTGGAAGTTGAATAAAAATCTGATTCGGATTGATAAATTTAAATATTTTTAATTAGGCTCTAATAGAAGTCAATTAGACTAATTAAATTATGTGAGATTTAAAATGAGTTATAATTAACTAATTTTGTGTTAATTAAAATTTATTAAGATTAGGTGATGATTAATTAAATTAATCCTAGACATAAATTAAATTATGGATTAAATTAGAATTAGGGGTGTAAATGGGTGTGGGTGTGGGTGTGGGTGTGGGTGTGGGTGTGGGTGCATTGAGAAATCTGCGTGTGAGAGAGAGAGAGAGAGAGATATATATATATATATATAGATGTGTTGGAAATTAAAAAAGAGCGCACGTGTGCTATGTTGATGACAAGGAAGTGAGGTGTGTGTGTGACAGTGTATGACCTGATGAAGCTTAAGAGAAACACAAACAGGGAAAAGAAAGGAAGCAAGAGAATGTGAGTTGGAGATCTCAAGAGTGTAGAGAGAGAAATTCACCTTTGTGTTAAGAATTGAAGATGAAGTAGAGAGCTAAAGAAAGAAAAGCTAAAAAAGTGAAGGAATGAAGAAGAATTCACCAAATTGAAGACTATAAGTAAGAATTTTAAGCTTGATTCTTCTAGATTAATTATTTAATAACCAAAATCAAGAAGCAATTGGATTCAATATCATACAAATAGAAAGAAATTAAGAAAAGAAAGAAGAAATTATAATAAGTTGAAGAATCAAATAAATAACTTAGGAATGTCATTATTTGAGTTTAATTTCTTCACTCTCCAAGTAATTTGAATTCTATCTTAACATGCATCATGGAATTTTAAGGTTTTGAGATTTTAATTCATGTTTTATGAGTTTGAATTTAGATTTTGTTGGAAATAGTAGAAAAATTTTGGGTAAAATCAGAATTTTTTCTCAAGTTTGGTCTATTTTTTAGGTGGGCCTCGAGCGTCGATTTACTCGGGTCAAAGTGGTAACGCATTCTATGCCGCGTTGTGATTCACGTGGTATATTTAGTTGCTCAAAACCATTACCGAGTGAATGGGAAATTGAAGCCAAAGTGTGTTTCATGGAAATGGAGTTTTGGTGGAAATTCCTTAAAGTTGTAAAATGGCTTGTCCCACATTGATTTGGTGGGAAGTTTTGAAAGGGTTTATAAGGTATGGGTTTGATACTTGGGGTGTGCCCCAAGGGTACCCAAGTGTTTTAGAGGAAGAGGTTATGGGCAAAATAGGCTAGACCCATTGGACTCAAAAATCACCACACACGCGCGCCGCCATCCGTCCGATCAGTCGGCCTGGGGTTGGGCTTGTTCGGCCCAATACTAATTTTTTTGGGCAAAAAACATTTGAATTTATTTTTATTTTGGAGAAATTACCCATAGGTCCCATGGGAAACATGTGATCTCCATTTAATCCCATAACTTTTTCACTACACCCAAAAGTCCTTTCCTCTCTCTCTCTGCTTTTTGCTTCCCTTCCTTTCTCGTTTTTTTTTCTACATTTTTCTGTCACCGTGTTTGTCATGGAAGAGGACCACCGGTGATCATATCTTTCTCCATTGATCGGGGTTCATTGATAACCACCAAGCATTGAAATCAACTCCAACGAAGAAGATGATATATTTTCCGACGAAGAAGATGAATGGATCTACTTAGATCTGATATAGATCTACTCAGATCTACATCAGATCTGAGTAGATCTACACAGATTTGGTTAGACATCCGTCTTTCCCCTTCGATTTCTTTTTTTTTTCTCTCTCTGCTATACACTTCTGTTTTTCTGCTCTAATGGAGAAAATTTTCGAATTCTGAACAAGCAGGTAATTTTCGAGTTTTAGTTACAGGCGGTGAAAATTGTAAAATTTTACAGTTTCAAATTTTTTTTTGGTACTGGAATGAATCATGGTTTAAAACTGTAAAATTTTGTAGTTTTATAACATTTTTTAGAACTGTAAAATTTTATAGTTTCATAACATGTTTTTTAATTTTTTTTTTCCAGTAATATTCTAGACATTCCGGTGAGTCTCCCGCGACCGTTAACGGAAGTCCGACGGTAGTAAGATGTGAACAGTGTCTATAAATTAAAAAAAAAAAAAAAAAGATTTTTTGGTAACAATTAAAAATGTGTTGGACTAATTGGTGCAAGTATTTTGTTTTGGGATTAGTTGGGTTTTGAACTTGTTACATGAGACTTATCAGTAAGTTCCCCTTTTATTTTTTGGTAAAATAAAATCCATAATTCAAATTAACCGGAAATAATCTGGTTGGGTTTTTTCTGTACATCCAAACGGGGCCCTTCCGTTTTTTGAACTCAACAGCTCTAAATCTGTTTGAAATTCAAACCAAACAGTGCCTAAACAGTTTGTATCTGTTTAATT